CCAAGTGTGGTAAACAAAACCAGAACAAACAAACCTAACCATAGAGGCAAAAAATTGATGACTTAAAGAGGCAAAAGCGCGTTTTAAGTCTGGCCTTGGAAGTGGCGACCGTAATTCTGCTTCCTTATTCCACATACGGGCTTGGTAAGCTAAATGCTCTGCTGCAGTGACAGTACAATTGAGACCTTATGAACCAACAGAACGTCTGGCGTTGTGTGAGCAACAGAGCTATCCGGATTTGGTGATAAAGCACTAAACGTTCATGAAGATAAAACGAGCAAACAGCCATTCATGGCTTAGTAAATACTAACAAGTAAGGAATTCCGTGTCACTTTAAGGAAGGATATTCTTGATTTTAGCGATGGGTACCGCAGAGTGAACAAAGCTGTTGTCGTAGCAATTGCTTTATATAAGCCTTGAAGGCAGTAGCACCATCTAATTCCCACTCCAGAATAAGGCGATGAATTTGTGATTCAAAATTGACAAAGTGATAACCGATCCGATAGATAGGATTTAAACCCAACCAAGGGGCTGTTCCTCTGAGACCTATATCACATCTAGCCTCCCAGTAGAATTCTTGGTCATATTTGTTAAAAGGAGCACAGGGGTCCAGTAGACCCAACTTCTGAGCACTTGTCCACCTATTAGGCAGTTGCTAGTAAGTATGTCATATTTTACTTTGACTAGTGCCGATTCAGTGCAATGATGAGCTCAGTAATCACCAATGAAAGGGTTCCAACATATTATTTTCTGACGGTGGAAGCAAAGCTTTTTTGGCTCTAAGAATTACCAGGATATATGTTTTCCTTCATGAAGAAGGGGTTTGAATTACCGCGGTTTTTAAAAGCTTGTGGGACTAGCCACAATGTATAGATGTTTTATTATTTTTAAGATAGGCTCTTGTGTCAAAGGAGCTGTTCTTGGAAGAGCCAAGCTCTTTTAAAGACACATTAGGAGCGACGTTGGTATTCAGTTGGTAGAGCATATGACCTTGAGCCTGAAGTCGTGGGTTGGAACCCAGTCTCCACTGACTCCCAAGATGTCTGCTGTCGTTGTTTCCTTGGCAAGACACTTAACCTATGGCCTGACCACAGTGGGGCGCTGTGGCTTGGTAAAGTGCAAACATGCCGTAGTGTCCTAGGGCAAGACACATTTCCACCTCCATTGCCTAGAATAGATTCAAGTGTGTGTGTGAATGGTTTGTGGTGGGTCGGAGGGGCATGCACATACTGGTTGCCTCCATCTGTCAGGTGTGCCCCAGGCGATCAGAGGCTACAGTAAGCGTATATCACCACTGTGTATGAAGTGAATGAAAAATGCAGCCCGCGAAAATTCAATTTGGTAATAACGTTAAACCAAAAATTACCCCCCTCCAGCCGTTTCAACATCCCCAGCCTATCGCTCAACAGACCCACCCTTGCCAATCACCGTACCGACTACCCAGCCGCATAAAAACGGAGGAAAACCCCCACTCTCGCCCCTCCGAAGCCATGCATGAATCGTTCAGGAGGAATCGCTTGTCTACTCACGCTTACTCCTGCGGTCCCTGCTGTCCTCTGTCCTTGCTGCGTAGTGGCTGGCCTGCTCCCTCCACCGCGTTGCTCGCCCCTGCTACGGTCCTCGTGCTGTGGTCCGTGGGTCTTTGCAGCTACTCACTACCTTTGCGGGCCTTTCTGCGGGTCGCCACGCTGGCTCTCTCGTCGCGGCCTGCTGCTGCAATAGCACGGCCGGTGCTTGCCCGGTGGCGGCTGGATGCCAGTCGCATCCCCTGCCTCCTCGTAGGCCGTTATCGGCGTGTGTCCCGTTGTGTTGCCCTTGTCTACTGGCGTTGTGGGTAAGTAAGCGGACGGTTTATTCCTCCCCATTGTACTGCAGGCTCATTCGCCCCGCGCGTTGTACGCAGGCTCAGTGCCAGCCGTGCATGGTGTGCAGCTTCAGTTTAAACCCTCGCATTGTTTTCTGCAGGCTCTCTTAAACCAAGCTCCGTTTAAAAATCCTTCACTCTGACTGCAATCATTCCCACATTGACTGCAAGACCTCAGTTAATTCCCTCACATTGGACTTGCGTGCTCAGTTTTCAATCCCTCACTTTGGCCTAGTCAGGCTCTCTTTAAAATCCCTCTCTGACAGCGAGCTCTGTTAATCCCCACCCTCTTGGGACTGCAAGCCCGTTTAAAATCTCCCCTCTGACTGCGGCACCCAAATTGACATCCCTCTCATTGGACTGGCGAGCTCCAGGTTAATCCCGCACGGAACGCATATATCTGGAACTGCTTATATCTGGAGCTGTAATACCGTACCTGGTAACTGGCTTCATGCGGACTGCTTTATAATGGAAACTGCTATATATGGAACTGCTATATATGAAAATGGTAAATATGGAACTGCTTATATATGAACGCTATATATGGAACGGTCTTGTATCCGGAACTGCTTATAAGGAACTGCTCATATTGGAATTGCAAATAAGGGTACTGCATTAAATCTGGAACGCTATATATAAAATCTAATTAAAAAATATATATTATTTTATATATTTATATTGTTTATTTATTTTTTATATATAAGCGTTCCAGATATAAGCAGTACCATATATGCAATTCCAATATGAGCAGTTCCATATACGCAGTTCCGTAAACAAGCGTTCCATATATAAGCCATTCCATATCTAAGCAGTTCCATATATAGCAAGATTCCATATATAGCATTCCAAAATAGCAGTTCCATATATAAGCATTTCCGCATAAGCAGTTCCATGTACGGTAACACAGCGCCAGATCTAAGCAGTATACCAGATATAAGCAGTTCCGTGCGGGATTAACCTGGGGAGCTCGCAGTCCATGAAGTGGATTCAATTTTGGGAGACCGCAGTCCAGAGGGAAATTAAACCGGGGCGATGCAGTCCAAGAGAGGGATTTAAAACAAGAGCTCGCATTCCAGAGAGGGATTTAAAGAGAGCCGGCAGGCCAAAGGAGGGATTAAAACTGAGGCACGCAGTCCAATGTGAGGGAGTAAACTGAGGTCTTTGCAGTCCAATGTGAGGGAATAGCTTGCAGTCAGAGTGAAGGATTTAAACGGAGCATGTTAAGAGAGCCTGCAACAATGCGAGGGCTTTAAACTGAAGCATGCCCACACCAATGCACGGGGCCAACTGAGCCTGCAGTACAAAGCGCGGGGCGGAACTGACCTGCAGTACAATGCGAGGGAATAAACCGTCCGCATACTTACCCACACGGCCAGAAGACAAGGGACAACACAACGGGACCACGCCCGTACCGGTCACGAGGAGGCAGGGATGCGCACGGCGACCCAACCCCGCACCCCAAAAAAGAAAACAAAAACCGGGTGGGGGCCAGACCGGCGTAAGCAGCAGCAGTGCCGCGACGAGACGAGCAGCGGGCAACCCGCATGAAAGAGCCCTCAAAGGAGAGAGCTGGCAAAGACCCACGGGACCACAGCACGAGACCCGTAGCAGTGCAGCCACGCGGAGGAGGAGCATGCCAACACGCACAAGACAGAGGACAGCAGACCGCAGGATAAGCGAGCGTAGACAAAGCGATTACACTCAGAACGAAACATGCAAGGCATCGGAGGCCGAGAGTGGGAGTCTCCGTTTTTATGCGGCTGGCGTAGTCCGGTACGGTGATTGGAAGGGGTCGTCTGTAGAGCGATAGGGCGGGGATGTGAACCGCCTGGAGGGGGTAATTTTGGTAACGTCTACCAAATTGAATTTTCGGCGGGGGCATGCATTAATCATTCACTTCAAACACATTGGGATAAACGCTTACTGTAGCCACAGCTTGCCCTGGGGCACACTGACAGAAGCGAGCAACCAGTATGTGCCATTGGCCCCTCGACCACCACCAACCATTCACACACACACTAGACTCATTCTAGGCAATGAGGTGAAAGAGTCTTGCCCTAGGAACACAACGGCAATTTCCCTTTACAGCCACAGCCGCCCCACTGTGGCATCCAGCCATAGGTTAAGTGTCTTGCCAAGGACAACAACGACACAGACATCAGTGGGAGTCAGTGGAGACCTGGGTTTATCCAACCCACTACCTTCAGCTCCAAAGGTCAATGCTCTACCCACTGATCCACCGTCGCCCCTAATGTGTCCCTTTAAAGAGCGTGGCTCTTCCAAGACACAGCTCGCAGTGACACAAGAGCCTATCTTCAACATAATAAACACATCTACAATGTGGTGCTATGACCCACAAGCTTTTTAAAACCGAAGCGGAATCAAACCCTTCTGAAGAAACAAATCCTGGAAAATCTTATAGCCAAACAGCTTTGCTTACCAGCCACCGTCAGGAACAAAATATGTTTTGAAACCTTTCAATTGGGATTCAGAGCTCATCATAGCACTGAATGGGCCACTAGTCAAAGTAAAAAATACATACAACTAGCTGCTAAAAGTGGACAAGTGTCAGTGTTGGTCCTACTGACCCCAGTGCTCCATTTAACACAATAGACCCACAGAAATTCTACTGCGGAGGCTAGATGTGATATAGGTCTCAGAGAACACCCTGGCGGGTTTTTTAAATCCTATCTATCGATCGGGTGTTATCAACTTGTCAATTTGAATCACAAATCTCGCCTTATTCTGGTGGAATTCGATTGCACACTCCTTCAAGGCTTATATAAGCCAAGCAACTAAAACAGCTTTTTTCCACTTGCGGAACAATCGCTAAAATCAAGAATATCCTTCCTAAAAGTGACACGGAAACCTTCTTGGGTGGGTTAGTATACAAAGCCATGAATGGCCTGGCTCGTTCTTATCTTCAAGACACGTTATTGCTATAACAACCCAACCGAGCACTGTGCTCACAAAACCCAGACGTCTGTTGGTTTCCTAAGGTCTCAAAGTACTGTCAGCAGCAAGCATTTAGCTACCAAGCCCCTTTACCTGAGGAATAAGAGAAGCAGATACGGTCTCCACATTCAAGGCCAGACCTTAAAACACTCTTTTGGCCTCTTTAGCAACACTTTTGCCTATGGATAGGTTTGTTTTTTCTGTTTGTTTACACACTTGTGTGTAATCCACACATATTTGTGCTGTAGCCTGGGCTAGCCTAGCCGCGGCTGCTGCTGTATTTTCACCTTCTTCGGACACGGTCACCACATTCACGGTAAGGCTTAAAAACATTCGTCTTAGTTTATCATATGATAGGAAGGTAGCTCAGGAGAAGGCCATACATCTTAGACTGCAGTCAACTGCTAGGGAGTAAGTCTGCTGGAAAAGTATGTATTTTAGCACTATCCTCTCCTCCTTCCTACTTTAAACAATCTGCATTATTTGATTTGGCGTCAGTGCTTACAGTAGTTCCCCACTTCGTTTGTCGCCTTTCACGGCGTGAATCACACGAGACTCCACGTGTGAATCTCGCCGACTTTTATTTTATTTTTTCCCAGTGATGCTGCAATGACCCGAACAACCACCAGGTGGCACTTGTGAGCAGGGTAGGAAAATTGCTTCTCATCGTCTTTGTTCCTGTTCACCGGACAACTTTCTAGTGGCTTTAATACTCAATGATAAAGAGGTGGACTCAGGTGTAGAGGACACGGGTTCAGTAACTGCTACGACACTTTTGATTATTGTTGACGTTTCAATTTTTTCCTAAAACATACTTATTAATAAGGCCAACACATTAAAATAGTTGCTAGACTGTAGTAAACTGTTGTAAACTGCACAATCGTGCACCAACCAAACTGCAGAAAACAATGCACTTTATTTCGGATAACAGAGTAATCTGATTCCATATACCCCCGCTAATAAAAATTTGAGGATTGGCCGGGGCTCGAACCCTGATCTTTCCAAGCGAAAGACTTGGACAATCCCACTACGCCAGAAAAAAAAAAAAAAAAGGGGGGGGGGGGGGGGGGGGGGGGGGGGGGAGGGGAATATATATAGGGGGGGGGGGGGGGGGGATAAAGGAAAAAAGGGGGGGGGGGGGGGGGGGGGGGGGGGGGGGGGGGGGGGGTACAAAAAAAATATATTATTAAAATTTTATAAAAATATAATTTTTTTGGGGGGGGGGGGGGGGGGGGGGGGGGGGGGGGGGTTTTTATATTTTTTTTTATTATATATTATTTTTTTTTTTTTTTTTTTTTTTTTTTTTTTTTTTTTTTTTTTTTTTTGTTTTGTTTTGGGGGGGGGGGGGGGGGGGGGGGGGGGGGGGGGGGGGGGGGGGGGGGGGGGGGGGGGGGGGGGGGGGGGGGGGGGGTTGGGGTGGGTGGGGGGGGGGGGGGGGGGGGGGGGGGGGGGGGGGGGGGGGTGGGGGGGGGGGGGGGGGGGGGTTTTTTTGGGGGGGGGGGGGGGGGGGGGGGGGGGGGGGGGGGGGGGGGGGGGGGGGGGGGGGGGGGGGGGGGGGGGGGGGGGGGGGGGGGGGGGGGGGGGGGGGGGGGGGGGGGGGGGGGGGGGGGGGGGGGGGGGGGGGGGGGGGGGGGGGGGGGGGGGGGGGGGGGGGGGGGGGGGGGGGGGGGGGGGGGGGGGGGGGGGGGGGGGGGGGGGGGGGGGGGGGGGGGGGGGGGGGGGGGGGGGGGGGGGGGGGGGGGGGGGGGGGGGGGGGGGGGGGGGGGGGGGGGGGGGGGGGGGGGGGGGGGGGGGGGGGGGGGGGGGGGGGGGGGGGGGGGGGGGGGGGGGGGGGGGGGGGGGGGGGGGGGGGGGGGGTGTGGGGGGGGGGGGGGGGGGGTGGGGGGGGGGGGGGGGGGGGGGGGGGGGGGGGGGGGGGGGGGGGGGGGGGGGGGGGGGGGGGGGGGGGGGGGGGGGGGGGGGGGGGGGGGGGGGGGGGGGGGGGGGGGGGGGGGGGGTGTGTTGGGGGGGTTGGGGGTGGTGGTGTGGTTGGGGGGGGGTTGTGGGGTGGTTGGGGGGGTTGGGGGGTGGGGGGGTGGGGGGGGTTGGTGTGGGGGTGTTGTAGGTTGGGGTGGTTGGATGTTGTTGGGGGTGTGTGTGGGTTTTGGGGTGGGGGTTTGGGGGGGGTGGGTGTTGTTTGTATGTTGTGAGGTTGTTGAAGGGGTAAAGGATTGATGATGGGTGGAAGGGATTTTGTTTTGATGTTTTTATTTGGGGAATGAGGGGTGGGGTGGGGAAGGGAGTTGTATTTGGGGTTTTTATTTGAAGGGTTGTTGAAGGTTATTGAAGGGGTAAAGGATTGACGGTGGTGGAAGGGGATTTTTATTTTGATGTTTTTATTTGGTAGGGGTGGGGGTTGGGGGTGGTAATGGGGTGATTTTGTTTGTGTTATGATTTTATGTATTTTGGTTTGGGATAATGGGATGGAGTGGATGGGTTTATTTATAAGTAGTTTTATTATGATATGTATGTTGTTTGAGTTGTGTTTTTTTTGTGGTTTTTGTTGTGGTTTTTTTTTGGGTGTTTTTTGTGTTGTTTTTGTGTTTCTACCCGAAATGATTATGGGTTAAGAACGGAATCAACTTCAAGCTGCCTCAACTCAACTCAACTACACGACAACAACTCGCGCAGTTGTTGAGCTCGACCCCAGCCGAGCACCAGGGGCAAAATGCTACAGCACCTGGTATCCCAGGCGGTCTCCCATCCAATACTATGGGAAAAACTTTGTGGGCGCTGCTCTTAAACAGAGAGAGCCGGTGCTTTCTCCAATCATTCTAGGATTACATACGCACACGGTAAGTCTCCTCTGATAAACACATTGTTTTTGTGGTCGTTCTTTATGTTTGCACTCCATAATACATCATAAACACAAGAAAATCTCTCATTATTGTGCGTAGAACGTTCACACACGTCGCTGTAGTTGTTAAATCTCGAGTGTGTAGTTGCGCTGTTTATGATTGTTAACCTCCGTGTCATAATTTATTTGCTGCTGCACCGTAATCTCTCTGTTTGGATCAATATTGTAAAGAAAACACTTTCTCTGCGTGGTACAAACAATCTGTATTCAACTGTATCAATCTGTATACATAATTCAGTTTGTTTACGTCTGGTTGTAAGTAGTATTTCCAGCGCCTAGCTAATTATTATTAGCTAATTATATTGATGTGAGTACTATCTATATGTATTTCACATTTCTAAAGTTTCAGGCAACACATGAGTTTGAAAATGAAAATAATGCAGTTAGTTTACGACAATGTATTAGTGTTTTACCAGTCATATTTTCCTCTATAACCTGGTACTTACTGTATCCCAGAGCCTCAGCGCTAATGTCACAGATTAAACATACAACTGTAATATGTCTTCTCTAATTTATACAGGATTCATGCTTCTTTAAAATGCTAAATGTAATTATTTTTATTCTGTAATTGAAGCTAAAGATATATACATTATACATACTTCTCTATCATGCTATTAGCTAGAATATATTATGATCTTAGATTTAGTTGTTTAGCAGACAATATTGCATCATCATCAATCAAGTTATTGTAAGTCGCCTTTCATGCACAGGGCAACAAAAAGCGCTTCACAGTCCACATCACAAAACATCAGAAACATAAAACAACACAGAATCACAATTAAAACATTAAAATCACACAAAAGATAAAACACAATACAAAACAATAAAATCACACAAAAGAATCAAACCATTAAACACTTTCAAAGTTACACAAAATTTAAAAAAATAAATAAAATAAATGACCAAGCAGTGCATTACACATGGAGATAAAATCCTCAGTTGTATGCACAGAATCCTAACAGTCTTTAACCTGGATTGAACAATGACAGAGTAGAAGCCTCCCTCACATTATCAGTTGAGATTGATTCCAGATCTTAGCTGCATAGATCTGAAACGCAGCCTCCCCATGTTTGGTTCTCACTCTGGGCACCAGCAGAGGCCAGTCCCTGTGCTCCTCAGAGTCCGGCTGGTTCATATGACACCAACATGTCACTAATGTATTCTGGTGGCAAGGCCATGGAGAGACTTGTACACAAGCAGAGCTGTTTAAAATCTATTCTTTGATCCCCAACCCAGGGAAAAAAAAAAAAAAAAGCCCCAAGGATTTTTTGCAGAGACCTGAGGACCCGGACTAATATGGGTCATACATCTGGTAATTTTTAATCCTGTCAGACTCTAGCTGCTGCATTTTGGATGTACCAGCAGCTAGCTTACAGGACTGTTTTGACAGACCTGTAAGCAGCCAATTTGCAGTAGTCTAGCTGCTGGAGACAAATGCGTGACAAGAATCCCAAGTCTGCCCTGGACACAATTTCTGACTTTGTCGAATGATTCTCAGATGGTAAAAAAGCTGTGATGTTATTGAATTTATGTGGCTTATTGAAATTTAGGTCAGAGACCATTATTACCCCCAAATTTCTGACCTAGTCTGAAGGAAGTAGGGATAGAGACTGGAATTTGACAGATGACGCCGTTCTCTTTGTTTCTGGGGAACCAAAGACAATGATTCCGTTTTTGTCTGCATTTACTGGAGGAAATTATTATGCATCCTCTCACTGATCTGTTGGATACAGTAAGGAGCAAATCCAGTGTCCATGTATCTCCTGCATTCAGATGAGACATGATCGAGTGTCGTCCCGGCGTAATTGTGTAGGACACTTGGTTTCTTTGTATTAACTGACCTAAACGGCAGCATGTAAGAGATTAAAATAGTAGAGGTCCCAGGATTCGACCCCCAGAGGTACTCACAGGTCGGGCCCACATGATCTGAGACGCAGTCTCGCAATCTCCACAAGTACTTCCTATCCTCCAGTAAGACCAAAAACCAGGTCTAGGCTGGTGCCAGTGACACCAACCCCTCCACCAGTCTCTGCATGAGGAATCTTCATGGTCCCGACAGTGTCGAACGCGCACTAAGATCTAACATGAACCAAAACTGTGACTTCATACCTCATCCGTGTGAAGTCGAATGTCGTTTGTTACCATCCCTAGAGGCGGTCTCAGTGCTGTGGTGGGTCTAAACCCAGACAGGAACATATCAAAAGAAATTATTCATTGTTAAAATTTCAGTAAGATAGTTGGGAGCAACTTTTCAAGATTTTTCCAATGAATGGCAGATTCGATATGGGCGAAAATTTTGAAGTCCCGCAGATCCAGACATGCACTTTTTTAGGAGAGGTCTTATGCTGCTGTTTTTTAGGGCCATAGGAAATGATCCTGGACGCCAGAGACTTGTTTAACTAATTTGTGTCTCGGTAAGTCTCCTCTGATAATCTTTTTGACAGTTTTCAGTATCCACAGGGGGTAAAAAGCTCTCTTGGCAGTATGCATTGGTTTATACGTGCTGTGGAGTGTAGATATTGTTTTTGATTCCTTGTTACTTTTGTCAAGAAAAACTGTGTCGAACTCATTTACAACCTCTAGGGGCAACTTTACAGGGGGGTTCGAGTTAATCGACCAACTGTTTTGAAAACATTAACACGAAAAATTGTTTACTGCAAACTCCAATAATGTCAGGAAAAATAAGTCTCCTCTGATAAACCACAATGTTTTCGTGCTCGTTCTTTATGTTTCACTTCATAAATCTCTCATATTGTGCGTAGATCGTTCACACACGTCTGTAGTTTAAATCTCGAGTGTGCAGTGCGCTGTTTATGATTGTTTACCTCCGTGTCATATGTTTGTTGCTGCTGCTGCTGCTCGTAGATCTCTCTGTTTGGATCAATATAGTAAAGAAAACACTTTCTCTGCGTTGTCAAACAATCTGTATTCACTGTATTCTACTGTATATGCAGTTTGTTTACGTCTGGTTGTAGTAGTATTTCCAGCGCTAGCTAATTATTATTAGCTAATTATTGTTGATGTGTGTACTATCTATATGTATTTCACATTTCTATAGTTCAGCAACACATTGAGTTGAAAATGAATTATATGCAGTTAGTTTACGACAATGTATTAGTGTTTTACCAGTTCATATTTTCCTTCTATAACTGTACTTACTGTATCCCAGAGCCTCATGCTGCTAATGTCCAGATGTAAACATACAACTGTATATGTCTTCTCTAGATTATACAGGATTCATGCTTCTTTATAATGCTAAATTTAATTATTGTATTCTTTATTATGCTAAAGATATATACATTATACATACTTCTCTATCATGCTATAGCAAAATATTTTATGATCTTTTTTTGTTGTTGCAGACAATATGAAGACATTTTCATTCTTTCCTGGCCGCGTCACTGTGATTTTTCGCAAGGGCCCACGTGGATTCCTGCTGCAGGACCCTTCGGAGGAGGCGAGGAAGATCAGGGACGACCCGTCCATGAGGGAGTGCGGTGCTCCTCTGAGGGAGGAGGTGGTGAGGGAGAACGCCCTCACTCTGGTGCGAGTGAGAGGAGGTGATGCCTCAGACAAGGCTGAAGTGCTGGGGGAGTACATTGTTCGCTCACAGCAGGCAGTAAGACCAGCACCGTGCCTGCTGTCACCATGCCCCCTGCAGCAGTGAACCCCGCTCCTCCTGCTCAGACTCATGTCACCGCTGTCTGAGGAGGCCATAGAGAAGGTTGTGCAGCGGATCTTGGAAAAGCAGCAGCAGCCTCCAGCAAATAACCCCCACACAAAGAAATGCCTGTCTTGTGGCCAGCCAAAATCCAAATATGAGGGCGATGGCAGCTCCATCCACGAGTTTTACCAGCAGGGTCCTACCAGGTATTTCTATTGCTCCACCAAGGTCTATAACACCTATCGCACAGAGGGTTTGACCAACTCCAGGATGCCATTCCGAGACTTTATGGACACTTGAGTTCTGCCAGAGAGAGCTGGAGGCCATGCAGCAGAGAGTGAATGAGCGGCAGGAGAAGAAAAGGAAGAGAGATGAGTCTCCTGCCACTGGGAGAAAGTGCGGGTTCTGCAAACTGCAGCTGAAGCAGGGACCAAACAGTCCTCACATTCATACACAATTCCCTGGTCTGTCAGGTAAATACATCTACTGCCCTGCCAAAGTATTCTCCCGGTACAAGGACCAGGGGATGGAGACGCAGATGTTC